AAGCGGACCTGACCTAGGGAGGATTTTATATGGGGTTTATTTTTTAGCAATTCGACAGAGACACAACTTTAAAATTTGATCTAATTCGGTTTTATCGGGGGGGGAATGTATTTATGTTTTGTTTTAAATATGTTGTGCGCCGCCCTGAGTCCCGTCGGGAGAAGGGCGGCATATAAATCAAATTAAATAAATAAATAAAATAAATAAATAAAAACAGATTTTCACACCCACCAAGGTGGCCAACATCTTGAGATCTTTGACCTTCCTTTGTGAACACCCCTGAATCAATACAACCTTTTGCTTTGCTTGTGATAATATCTATGTCTTTTCTCCACTTTTATGCATAAACAAAAGTCATGGAGTCCAAAGATGATAAAAAAAATTCTGGGCAATCATCATCAGAAGATAAAAAATCCAAAGATCAGTCCAATGAAGAGAAAAAAAGTAAGGAGTCCAACGCAGAGGACAAAAAGCCTAGTGAGAATCCCACGGAGAATGAGGAAGCCAAAGAAGCTGATAGCCACGCAGTAAGGCAAAATTATCATTTGTTTCATGCACTTTCCCTTTTAATTCCAGAGACTCTGGTTCCTTCCAGGGCTGTTTTTATAATTATCCCATTTTTTCATAAAGCAATTGCAGATTAATTCTAGAATAAAAGCCTGGGGGCCATGCAAATTTTCTCCCAATAGAAGAGAATATTGGTAGCTCGAGGTTGAACTGTTGCGTTCTTGACAGCACTGAGGTTGGTGGTTGGCTTGTAGGCATCTCATTACCCAACTTGGCACCATCATCAGTGCCAGTAGATGTGGGGTTGGCTGCTGGTTTATATGGAGCAGCTGCCAGTTTTCGTGGGTGTGTAGTTTGTACCCTGAAGGAGAAAACTAGATTCCCAAACTAGATCTGTCCTGGATGATGATGATCTAATAATATACAGGTAGTCCTCGGTTATCCATTCAGTCATCATTCAAACAGCACTGAATGAGGTCTTAGTTGGATCCTTGGATTCTGGCCACTGCAGTGTCGTTGAATTGCACTGGTCCTGCCTTCCCATAATTATGATTTTCCAAATTCCTACAAGCAAAGTCAATGGGGAAGCCAGCAGGAAGTCACAAGTCATGGTTACAGGAAGTCTTCGCTTAACAACGGCAACCAGACTGCCGGCATTGCCTTTGCACTTGACGTTGCACTTTATGGCCGGTCCCAATTTCTGTCAAAGGTTATATATTAGAATTGATTGTACGTTATTCCGGGCAATCCAGTGTATGTAGCAACAGAAGAGCCCCATGCAATTGGATCCAATTCCTTTAAAAATGTCTCTTTGTCGGGGAAAAAGTTCCATGTCATTGTTCTTATTATTTGGAGCTCTGTTTGCATTGCACTAAAGCACTCCAAGCGGACCGCTACTTTTGTTCAAGACAATCCTGTGAGGTAGGCCAGGCTGAGCAAATTGGAATCACCTGAGACCCTCTTTCAGCCTTCCTGAAGCCCTGGACCTCCTCAGGATCACTCAGGGGTCAGCACCCGCCGGGACTGCCTGAAAAAAAATATCTGAATTTTAAAAAAATTCTTGAGGAAAAGTCTTTCCACAGGAGCCCTGAGGCATCGCTACGCCACTAGCGTAGCGAAGCGGCTTCTGAGCCAGCCGGTGCCCAACTTGTGCCCCTTTACGTCAGCGGCGTAGCCCAGGCTCTGCTCAGGCGGGCTTTTCCTCGCGGCGGGCGGGAGAAGACCGCCGAGGAGGGCGTGGCCGCGTTTGCTCTCGCCCCGCCCCTTGATTCCCCGCCGCGCGCCGATTGGTCGTCCCTCACCGGCCGCCGAGGCTCCGTCCAGACGTTTCTAGAGCCTGTCGTGACGTCACGGTGGCGGCGTTCCAGAAAGTTCGCGGCGGTCCCTATAAAAGCGCCGCAGCCGGTCGGCGCCGCGCCAGGATCGAGTGATCGGGGCGGGTGGAGAGGGCGTTGAGCCCGGCCGGCGAAGGTGAGACTCGGGGGTGCCCCGAGCGGTGATCGGGCAGGCGAAGCTGCGGAGGGAAAAAGACCTCAAATCTGTGGCGTCATTAAATGGAATAGAATCTTGGACTACAAATCCCATCATCCGCCACTTGTTGCATCCTTTCCCCTGGCTCGGCCAGCCCCGATCGCCCTCTCCCTTCAGGATGGGCCGAGGGTGATGGGAGGTGCGGTTAACCGGGTGGGTGAGCGGCCGAGGATCATGGGATTTGTAGATCAAGGAGCTGGGGGGGGGGTGAGGCAGGAGGAGGAGGAGGGGGAATCGTGCTGGTCTGGGCGAGGATCGTGGGAGTTGCAGTCCAAAACGAGGGGCAGCGAGGGAGGTTTTACACTGGGGATGATGGAGCTTCTAGTCCAAACAGTTTTTTTAAAAAAAAATAATAAAGTTGGAAGGGACCTTGGAGGTCTTCTAGTCCAACCCCCTGCTTTTGAGGTGCTCTGGCTGGGGATCATGGGAGTTGTAAAGCTCTGGGAAGAGATGGGCAGGCAGAGAGGTCAGTTATGTTGGTATCAGTTAGTTGGCAAAATTGGGGGGTTTCCTTTTGCCCACAATTGCAATTCCAGATGGGGAAATCAAATAATTGGGCTGCTTCCCTGGGGGGGGGGTCTGAAAGCCCCCCAACTCCCCAGGAGGCCTTCATTGGAAGGGCAAGAATATTAATAGGACCAGGCTGTAATATTAATAAATCCAGGATTGGGGAGAAATCCAAAAGGGGAGTGATAAGAAAAATCCTTAATCCTTCCTGCTGCCGTTGGACTTGATCGGGATAAACTCTGGATCTTTAGGAAGAAAAAGGGGGGAAGCCTGGAAAAAGCGAAGGGGCTCCCTGAAAAAAGCTGAGGATTCGTAACTGGTCCATAGGATGGCTGGAAAGGAATCCCCGTTCAGCAGCCCCTTGAGCCTGCTTTATTATTATGTATTGTTTATTCAATTTATCTGCAAACCACCCAGTATCCCATTTATTTGGAATAAAGCGGGCTGTGTGTGTGTGCATTGTGATAAACTAGCTGATCAAAAATAATCCAGATTTTTTTGGTTATACAGTGTTGGTGCATAACTAGTTGTTATTAATAAGCACTTGTGACTGTCCATAGGGCTGAAAAGCTGTGCACCTGTCATTTTCCATGGCCTTGTGTTGTTGTGGGGGAAAATAGAAGTATTGGATGTCTTTGGCTGCCTTGAGTAATTTTTAAAAATAATAAGGTGAGGTATAAATAAATCTTTAGAGCTTAGGTGTGGTGTGTGTATATGCTTGCCCTTGCTGGTTATTGTGTGATTTAGTTAACTTTATGAAACTATTGAGCCATAAATGCAAGAACTGACTCTGCTCACACATCCCCTCCAAGCGGGCGCTCATTTTTGCTTTTAGGCATCCAGATCAGGAGTTGATTTTTTTTTGGTCCCAGTTTCAACAGCAAGATAAGTTATTTGAGATGAGCAAGTTGGCTTCGCTCCTGGAACAATGCATAACAGGGAAAGAGGCCACCCGTGAAGGGATGATTATTTATGCAAGGAATTGTTAATTTGTTGAAGGTTGCTTAAAGAAAATATAAAACACGGATTTTCCCGTTGAGACCAAGACTGGGGTGTTCAACCTTGGAAACTTTAGGACCTGTGGACTTCAACTCCCAGAATTCCCCAGCCATCTTCAGGTTGCCAAAGTTGGATACCCCGATCTAGACCGGGTTAAAAACATACCAGAAAAATAGATATCTGTGTGTGAGAACAAAGGGGAAAAATGCCCTGCCAGTAAATAAAAAGAATATTGAAATATTGATGCTGAGGCATTGAATGAATGGTTGATTTGTTTCTCTCACTCTCTTAGGCAACCATGGTGAAGGAAACCGGTTATTACGACACTCTGGGTGTGAAACCCAATGCCACCTCCGATGAAATTAAGCGTGCCTACCGCAAGTTAGCATTGAAGTACCATCCTGATAAGAACCCCAGCGAGGGCGAGCGGGTATGAGCTGAAGTTACATGGGGGAGACACTTTGGGGGCAACTTTAGCACCCAGGACCTAAATGTGCCTTTGCCGTGTAATCTGTATAATCGACTGACTGCATCTCCAGTTGTAGCAAGAAGAGGCACAGTTCACACACACACACACACACACAAATACAAATGCTACTGACAGAAGAGAATATTTGTAGCTCAGGGTTGAATGGTGGGGTCCTTGGTACTCTCTGAGTTTGGTGGTTTTCTGGCAGATGTTTCATGACCCAACCAAGTAACGTCATCAGTGCTAGAAGGAAATGCAAACCCCACTTATTTCTAGCACTAATGATGTTACCTAGTTGGGTCATGAAATGAGACAAGCTCAGAGAGCAGCACGAATGCCAACATTGCTACTATTAATGCTTTCAGGATGGACCTCTGTTTGCATGGGAAAATCACCCTACTCTAACTCTTGCCTTGGATACTACACAGAATTATAAGGTCCTGTAAAGCAGAGGTCCCCAACCTTTTGGGCACCAGGGACCGATTCCGTGGAGAGAAGTTTTTCTGCGGACCGGAGGGTGCATGGTTTTGTGTGCTGCCTGCATCCTGCAGATGAGGTTTTGCTTGTTTGCATGGACCGGTTGCTGGCATGCCATGGCCCGGTACCGGTCCACGGACCAGGGGTTGGGGACCCCTGCTGTAAAATGTGACATCATGTGACTGCACTGACATAACAACAGCAGCTGCAGCAGTGTCCATTGCAATTGGGAGGCAAATCCTGTTTGCGACTTCCTGCTGGCTTCCCCAATGACTTTGCTTTTGGGAAACCGGCACTGAAGGTCACAAACGGCAGTGATGTTACTGCAAGCACCACAGCAGTCACAGCTGCAAGGAGCAGTCATAAGTCCCCTCATTTAGTGCCACTGTAAGTTTGGTCATTCCACAAGGTCGTTTCCTGCTGACTTTGGCTCTGGGAAGTTATCTCGCCTGGCAAGTCTGGTATTCAGGTACTGACGGCAACCAGGACTTCTGTCATTAAGCAGTGCAGCCACAAATCCCAGTCCCAAACAATAAGCCGATATTAAAAAATTAACTGTTGGTTCTCTCTATTGATCATCCCGCTTAGTACTGATGGAGTTTGGAGTACATCTGTTTTTCCCATCCTTGAGAACTTTCCTGAGACATCCTACTGGCTGAAAAATAATGTTGTTCTATTATGAAATTATCCTTTATTATCAAACTGTTGAGCTTTACATTTGACCAAAAAGCAGGCAGTAATTATTTTTAAATAACTGGGTGTAGTCAGCGTTAAACAATTTTTCCTGGAAACCTGCTTTAAATATCTAGTAAGTTTAAAAGAGTATTTTCATTTGTTTCCTATGTCTGAGATACTAAAGAGTCTGGCTTAGCTCTAAAAGGACTGGTGGGAAAGCAGCAAGTATGACTAACATACATTCAAGCTTCATTGCAGTGCACTGTAGAGGGGAAAAGCTAATTGATGTGAATGCTCAGTTATGCATGAACTTTTAATTTAAGAAAGCGAGTCGTAACATGCTGGTGTTGGGTCACAAAATAATTTGAGGGGGGATTATTTTTAGCAACAATACGTGTGACACTTCTGTATGAGCAAAAAGCTGTTAATTCAAATTAATAAAATCTATCAAACTTGTCACGTGCATATTTTCATTTCAGCACTGATTAAAATGGCCTTTCTCTCTGGAAATGGTAGTTTATTTGTACTTTGGCAGGGAACGTTTAAGAAACATTTGGTACTTTGCTGGAGTCCCAAACGCAACATCCAGTTTCTTTGGATTATAAATAAAACAGTGGTTGACTGCAGTTTTGCTGCACCATAGTGTAGCATCCTTTGTGGTCACAGCTTGCGATGCATGGCTGTGCCGTGATACAAAGCTGCATCACCTGTCCCTCTGAGGTTGCAGCTTCATCATGTATATTAACTTGAAATAATCCCACTAAATTCAAGAGTTTATTTTTGAGCAAAGGCGCCTCATGCAAAAGCGTTGAGTTCAGTCTTTTCCCCGGGTGGACACGCCAAATTTGAAGGAAATGCTGACATGTTTATTATCTCCAAAGAATTAGGACAATGCACTGATTGAAACCTAGAAAAGGGAATCTTTGAGGCTGGGAGGATGAAAGCTATTTCATAGAACTGCTTTAGCCAGTTCTTTTACCTTTTCTCATACAGGATGTGTTTTCTGTAATGCAAATGTCACTCAACACTGCATAAGAATAGTCTGACTTAATAGCCTTCCATTTTGTGTATAAATTTAGTCACAAATTTTTGAGGTGTGGGATCTGAAGTGTTGATAACTCGCCAACTTGAAATGCTTCAATCATCCCCCCCCCCCCCAAATTAAAAGCATTGTATATCCAGGGCCATCGCATGAGGAAAGTTGCAGGTGATAATGAAATCATCCTAGCTTGATTAGGTCCACTATCTATCTACTTAGATGGTATATTTATAGCTACAGAAGCAGTGAAAAATTCATAATAAAGAATCAGGAGAAAGATAAAAAAATTCTTATGGACAGAAAAAGGAACATCTTTTGTTTTGAAGTAGGGGTAGGCACTGCTCAAAGAGTAAGAAAAAGGGGTTAAGATTGAAAGTTCAGTTCTGCCAATATATTTTATATAACTAAGAGGAGCTGATGGCATTAGAGAAAATAAGCTGCAATTTGGAATCTTCTCCCAGGCAAATCATTCTGTCCAACCAAACAACATTTCCTATGTTAGCAAAAAGCTGCACTTAACATAGTGTCCTTGGTAGGGGCTGTACAGGAGCCAAACTTGTGCATACATCTTCCCACTTGCTGGATTTCTTTCTAGCTACTGGTATCAGACATGAGATGTGGAATGCAAACGGGGTGGGTGGGGTGGGGTGTCTAAAATCCAAGAGGCTTCCCTTGACCATTGACAAGGTTCCTAGGCTCCACTTCCCTTATAACTAAGACGCAGAACAAGAGAAAAAGGATGTGAAGAGGGGACGTAGGAATTACTAATTGTGAGATACAAGTAGAGTATTTGCTGTAGGGAGAAACTGCAGGGAAGGGCCCCAAACCTGTTAACACCCTTGGCTTTAAAGTTGAGGAACAGAACAGGAGCCCAGAGCTTCATTTTGTGCTGCATAAGTAAACGGAGAAAGTAAAAGATGAGCTCGTACCTTGGTCAGTTATTGTCCACTCAAAGTCTGCACTGGATGGAAGTACTGTGCCTCTAAATCTACTGTGTTATCTCTGCAGACACAAACACACAACTGTGTACACACATGGACTTGAGTGGAGGTGGACAGGCAAAGATCTGTCGGCATCAGCTCCAGAATCTGTTACCCATCTTTTTATTTTTATGGTGGCTTCCAAATAAGAGCATTCACTTTAAAAATGAAGAACCCGCACTCTGGACCACCTGAAACTGGGCAGAAGGCACCCCCTCTAAAATGTTAAAAAACAATTCTGGCTTGGAACGGTGTTTAACATTTTAGAGGGTGCAAACAAGGTTACCTTGATATTTAAACCAGTAGGCCTGTTTTGGGATTGACACTACCACTATATATTCTCCATCTGAAAATTGGGGTATTAACTCTGAGTTTTCAGCATGCGTAGCCAGGACTCTGAGCACCACAAATAGGCACTTTAGGAAACATTCCAGTGAACGTATTGACTGCTGATCTGAAATCTATACCTTTTTAAAAATCTGAAATGTGGCTGGTGTGCTATTCTCGTGTATAGATGTTCAGGCATTTTTTTTTTAAAGTTAGTTTCCCCTGTGTGCTAGCCAATTAATTCAGAAGGTCTCTTTCTCTCCTTAGTTTAAGCTCATTTCCCAGGCTTACGAGGTCCTGTCGGATCCAAAGAAGAGAGATCTCTATGATCAGGGTGGCGAACAAGCCATTAAAGAAGGGGGCTTAAGTGGTGGCAATTTCTCCTCGCCCATGGACATCTTCGACATGTTCTTTGGAGGAGGAGGCCGGATGAATCGAGAAAGAAGAGGTAGGGGCTTGGGTTTTTTCCGTTGCCTTGCCTCAGTTCAAGCATTTGAGGGAAACTGGAGAGGTCAAGAGCTCCTAACGCCTTCAAAGAGTAATTTTTTACAGCAAACCTGCTTTGATAACAAGTGATTTATTCAGAGTCAAGTAGTTTGTGGGTGTGGGGGGGGAGAGAATTGCAAAGCTGAATACTGTTAGTACAGGGATCTCCAACCTTGGCAACTTTTACAACTTGCAGACTTCAACTCCCAGACCTCTGCTGTAATAAATTCGTAGCGGTTTGGTTTTCTGTCTGAATAATTGAAAATTCTGCACATTTTCAGAGTTAGTGAGCTCCCCTAGGAATTTGTGTAGGGGGGGGGGGGGAGGACATGAGTTTTGCAGTTTAAATCCTGCTTGAGAAGGTTGACTGAGAGACGAGCGAAGGCACTCCTTTTGGAAAACAATTTGGGAGGTAAATTTTATTTCAATGTCAGCCGTGGGGCAATAATTGTAATTGTCCGACTTTTCTACAAAGGGTGGGGGCTGCCTTATTAGCTGTGCCAGTAGCTCTGCTGAAAAACTCGAAAGGCACCTTGGATATTGTTAACTGTCTGCACTTATGTTATCAGGTAAAAATGTTGTCCATCAGTTGAGTATCACACTGGAAGACTTGTACATGGGAGCCACAAGAAAACTAGCACTTCAGAAGAATATTATCTGTGACAAGTGCAAAGGTAATAATTTCTCGATTAGATGACTGCAGGAACGGAGTACAAAAGTTGGACCCATCTCGGGAATTTTAGAAACTGCTCTTGCCTTCTTGACCGAAAATGCTGATCATTTCATACAATGTATTTTAAGACACCAGCTGTCTTTGAAGTAAAGCAGATTTTGTGGAAATGGTGACTCACCAAAAGTGTTTAATCCAACCACAGAAATAGGTCACCAGTCTATATTTGTGTTAGATTCATCTCACGGAGATTGCCCTGAACTAATATCCCGAATGAAATCTGCTGGGGTATTTATTTTTCCTCTGCTTCAATCTGGCTTTTTCAGAGGCCGTTGGAAAGCTAGACTAGTAACAGAATGTTGCCATTAAAAAGAAGCATTAACAAAAATAAATCTGTTTAGAAACTGGACTATGGTGTTCACGTGAGCTGCCCTGGTTTGTGAAATTTCATACTGTCCTCTTAATGAGAGGATTTCCACCCGGCTTTTCAGAACCATTTGCAAATATGAGAAAGATAAGTTTTGCTTAATAGTTTGGTTGAGTGCCCTACACGAATAAATTTGATAGGTCAAATTACATGATTTTTGGAGGGGGGGAGAACGCATAAAAATATTGTTTGTTTTATTAAAAAAAGAGGATAACTATAGACTGAAATGCAGACAGCTGGAGTACAATTCACTCCACTGAATGACAGGTGTAATGCAATCTTAATCCTGTTCTCAGTGTCTGCTGGGAACTGCACGTTGCTGAGATTAGTGTTCAGTTTGGAGAGTTGAACCAAAACTTATTTTGTGTATGTGTGGTTTGTGTGTTACTCATTTGTGTGTGTGTGTGTGTGTGTGTGTGTGTGTGTGTGTATTTCTTCCAAGGTTACGGTGGGAAAAAAGGGGCTGTAGAAAAATGTCCCACCTGCAAAGGGCGAGGTGTGCAGGTGCTGGTCCAGCAGATCGGACCCGGCATGGTCCAGCAGATTCAGACCGTGTGTCCAGACTGCAAAGGCCAAGGAGAACGGATAAATCCCAAGGACAGGTGTACCAACTGCAATGGCAACAAGGTGGTCAGGGAGAAAAAAATCATCGAGATCCACATTGATAAAGGTAAGAGTTGGAAATGGACGAGAGGGCGTGGGAGACGGCTGTGCAGCTCAGTTATTCTTGTGAACCTCAGAGGCTAAGTCTTGGTCACCCTAAGTAGCAGGACTTTGAAACCCAGGAGACAGGGCCTGTTGTTCTGTGAGAAGTCACCTTTTTAAGTGGTAAAACTGCACCTCTGTGGTGAAAGGCTGTTCTTACGTTCTTCGGAACTAAATTTTGGTTGCTCATAATAATTTCAGCATAGGCCAAGCCATGGGCTCCTCGTTTCCTCTTCAATCACAAGTTTCTGAAATTAATTTTAGGATTAGAACATGTACACAGAGATAAATACATGAATAAAAGTTTGAAGGTGTGCTGAATTGTAATTGCATAAACATTCCCGATCATTGGAAGTACATCCCATAGAAATATCTTGCTGTGATCAAGGCTTCTCTCCCCCCCCTTTTCTCTCCCCCTCTCCTTTGTTTTCTAGGTATGAAAGATGGCCAGAAGCTAGTATTTCATGGAGAAGGTGATCAAGAACCTGACCTAGAACCGGGAGATGTCATTATCGTACTCGATCAAAAAGATCACTCCGTGTTTCAGAGGAGAGGCAACGACTTAGTTATGAAAATGAAAATCCAGCTGACAGAGGCATTGTGCGGCTTTAAGAAGACCGTTGAAACGCTGGATGACAGGGTCCTTTTAATCTCCTCCAAACCAGGTAAGCTTGGCCTTTTGGGTGCGTTTGTGTATGGGTGTGTGTGTAAGTGTAGAACAGATGACACGAAGCTGGCAGGAATGGCCAACACTCCAGAAGATAGGCTTAAGATACAGGAGGATCTGGACAGACTTGAACACTGGGCGCTATCTAACAAAATGAAATTCAATGGTGAAAAAAGTAAGGTTCTACATTTAGGCAAGAAAAACCAAATGTACAGGTATAGTATAGGGGGTACCTTGCTCAATAGTAGTAACTGTGAGAGGGACCTCGGAGTCCTAGTGGACAATCACTTACATATGAGCCAGCAGTGTGCTGCAGCTGCCAAAAAAGCCAACACTGTGCTGGGCTGCATCAACAGAGGGATAGAATCAAGATCACGTGAAGTATTAATACCACTTTACAATGCCTTGGTAAGGCCATACTTGGAATACTGCATCCAGTTTTGGTCACCGCGATGTAAAAAAGATGCTGAGACTCTAGAAAGAGTACAGAGAAGAGCAACAAAGATGATTAGGGGACTGGAGGCTAAAGCATATAAGGAACAGCTGCTGGAATTGGGAATGTCTAGTTTAATGAAGAGAAGAGCGAGGGGGGACATGATAGCAGTGTTCCAATATCTCAGGGGCTGCCCCAAAGAAGAGGGAGTCAACTTATTCTCCAAAGCGCCTGAAGGCAGGACAAGAAGCAACAGGTGGAAACTCATCAAGGAGAGAAGCAACCTAGAACTAAGGAGAGATTTCCTGACAGTGAGGACAATTATCAGTGGAACAACCTGCCTCCAGAAGCTCTGAATGCTCCAACACTGGAAGTTTTTAAGAAGAGACTGGACAGCCATTTGTCTGAAATGGTATAGGGTTTCCTGCCTGAGCAGGGGGTTGGACTAGATGACCTCCAAGGTCCCTTCCAACTTTATTAATTTATTATTATTATGGATCATCGCACAGTCAGCCAGATGTTCAGACTGGATTTGGCATTTTGTCTACCTATCGAGTCCTTACCCAGGACCTGGGATAGGCAGATGTGGATGTTTGATGGTATTACAGATATCGTCGCAGGATGGAAAGGTATTATTATTATTATTATTATTATTATTATTATTATTATCCATTACATTTTATCTTCCAACAGGCGAAGTGATCAAGCACGGAGACATCAAGTGCATCGTAAATGAAGGAATGCCGATTTATAAATCTCCCTTGGAAAAAGGTTCCTTGATAATACAGTTTCTGGTAAGCAAGGCGGTTCCTTTTCCTTTTTTAAAAAAAATGATTACTTAACGCCGGCGTGGAAGGTGAACTGATAGAGCAACTAAAATTTGGGTTTTGTGCCTTTAATTATCTGGGCCTGCTATAAATTCCTGCTGAACTCGGAATTGGTGAGGGAACGTGACAGTTTTCGATAGCTGTGAATAGAAACACTTCGCTGCATAAACAAAAGCCACATTTTTACCAGATTTAGTTTCGAATGATCGGTGATGGAGTTTATACGTGATGAACCTCCGGGCTGCTTGTTTGTGGGGCGTAGCCTGTGGTTTCAAATCTATCCAGTTTTAATGGTTTCTTCAATAGAAACGAACCCTTTACGGCTTTGCACGAGTGAGTCAGACCTGTGGCAAGCCAGGGCACGTGCTTGACTCGAGTTCGAATCCTCTCTTCCTCTCCCAGGTTGCCTTCCCTGAGCATCACTGGCTTTCCAACGATCAGCTCCCTCTCTTAGAAGCTCTGCTCCCTCCCAGGGAGGCAGTGACAGTTTCCGAAGATATGGATCAAGTGGAGCTGGCAGAATTTGATCCCAAGGAGCGGACGTACCGGAACCACGGCGAAGCCTACGAAGAGGACGATGAAGGCCCAAGAACGGGGGTCCAGTGCCAGACCTCGTGAACCGAGCGGTCCCGGCACATGAACTTGTCAGAGAACTTGAGGAATCGTCGCTGAGCTCCGAGGCTTGCCGAGTTCGGCGCGACGAATGGCTGTATATTAGTTCATATTTCATATTTATGTGTTCATGTTGTAAAAAAAGAAATGGATCTGCGTAACTTGAAACCCAAATGTGCTGCTGTTCAATTTAAATAAGCTCCCCCCCCCCTCCATTTACACTAAAAAAGTAACCGTTCCAATCCTGTGGTTTTCTGGCTGTCTGGGGCTACGAAGAATGCTTGCTGGGGATTAAACCGGGACTGATCAAGAGAGCGGAGTGTTTGAGAAACATGCATGTAAAGATTTTCCCCAGCAGTAGTTACTTGAAACATTGCCACATCACCTTAACAAGACTGTCTAGATTATTTAATAGATATTTTATCAAATAAAATATCAGGACCATTTTTTTTGTGTGTGAAAACTCTTCATGGTTACTCTGGATGGGAATTGTGTGATTATTTCTGTGGGGGAACCTCACGGAAAGAGTTTGGAGCGGTACTTCACACATAGGAGCGGAGCCCGATTCCGCTTAGCTTTGTGAGGTCATCGACGGGCAAATGCTTTAGAGAGGTTTACACCACTTTGGAATGCAATACTGTTAAGTCTGCAAAACAACCAACGGTGCCGGGAGGAAAACACTGAATTGCTGCTCAGATGCCACAGCAGGGGTTTATTTAGCTTTAAAACAATAAAAAAAAACAAAACAGCAAAGCGCCCACCTAGATAATTTTCAGATTCCCATCTATAAGATTTTTCAAAGAGTATCAAAATATTTTTCAGACAACCGACCTCAATAGCTCTCGCAAGCAGAAATCTTTTTATACAGGACAATCATAAACGTGTATTTCTTGATCGTCCCCAACAGAGACAATTTTTGAGCCGTTCCCATTGTACTGCACGCCCCAGACCTGTGGGTGGGAGAGAAGGTCCCCGGCAGGTTAGAGAGGAGGAGAGCCGGTGATTGGCTATCCCAAAGGGCAGCCCCAGCCTCCATCTCCCTTACCTGGTCTTGATGGTCAAAGAAGGTGTGGACGCAGGTCCTGGAAGGCACGTCCCAAACTTTGACCGTTTTGTCTGATGAGCTAGGATTGAAAAAAGGGTTGTTGCCTCGCTTAATTCCAGGACTCCCGTATCTGATTGAGTCCGGCTACGGCTGCTTATAAAGTTATGTGCTCTTAAGAAAGTACTGATTTGGTTTCTATCCTGCCTTTTGTACAATAAAAGTTATTGCTTGGTAGATGTGGATGATAAATCTAGCAAGGGCCAATTTTAGAAAGATCGCTTCCTTCCCTTCTTCCTTCCTTCGCTCTTATTTTCTCTTTTCTTCCTCCTATTCCTCCATCTTCCTTCATTCCTTTCCTCATCTTCCTTCTCCCCCTCTTATTTTCTCTTTCCCTCCCATTCCTCCCTCCATTTTCCTTTCATCCTTCCTTTCCTCATCTTTCTTCTCCCCTCTTCCTTCCCTTTATTGTTTTCTCTTTCCCTCCTCCCACTCCTCCCTCCATCTTTGTGCCTTCCTTCCCTCCCTCCCTCCCTCTTCCCCCAAATCTGTTACAATTGTGGACAGAATATATATTGCTCTACTTACCTGGAAACAAAATGGGTATCATCAGGGCAAAAGGCTACATTTAATACCCAAGATCCGTGGCCACTCAGAGTGCCTGCCAAGTTGGCATGCTGTCTGTGAATTCAAAAACAGATTCTGGGTTAGAGAAAACATCTTAAAATGATTTTCAGGCTCTTGCACAGAACGCCCCCAAGATCCTTCTAATAAAAGAGGTAGGAACGGACAAGCCCAAACTAACAAGCTATCAATGACAGCTTGTAACCACAGGTAGACTTTTGAGATAGGAGAGAGAGAAAGTGCAACTTCTTGCAAGATCTTCTTAACATACATGCCCATTTCAGGAGTGTTAATTCCTTGGATTCAGAAAACTCAGGAGTCAGGAAGTGGAAATACAAAGGAGGAACAGCAAATAGAGCTGGCTGGAGGATTTATTGAGAAGGGAACAGTAGATAGTGGATTCAACAAAGGCATCACTCACACATCATATATCTTGATGTAGCCATCATCTGACGCAGTCACAAGCAACTGAGAGTCTGGAGAAAACGTCAAGGAACGGATAGGCATGGCGTGACCTGAAGCGCAAGAGATAATCACTTTCTATCTTTGGCTGCTTGAAATGTAATTTGCATCTTGCTCTATAAAATCAGCTGAACTACTTCCCAAAAAAGTTTGCCAAGGGAAGATCCTGCTGGCATTCTCTCTCTAATATTAATATATATATATATATATATATATATATATATATATATATATATATATATATATATATATATATATATCCTCAGAAATTCCAAACCTCACCTTCCAACGTGTGGAGAAGTTTCCCGGTTGCAATATCAAAAATATTGATAATCCCATCGATAGCTCCGCTGGCTAGATATTTTCCATCTGGACTCTAATAAAACAGTCAGAAACAAGTACTGAACCCTGCCCTCTTCCCTTATACCACAAGAAGCCAAGATATTCACACAACACACTAGTCCTCTTCACCTTTTTGCATTTACACAGTATGAAATTTGCTGACTGACCTTGGTTACATTTTGGTTTTAGTCAGCTTGAAAATCCAGATAGAATTATTTGCAGTTCATATTGTTCAAATGGCCTACATGGGGTATTAAGTCACACCCAATTAAGTATGTTTTGTGAATCCACCTACCAGCTAGAATGCAGAAGAGAAACGACTCATACCTAAACTTGGGATCACACAACGTAGCAAGGTAAGTATGGATGCTACCTATCTAATCAGCACATGGGACTTTAGGAAGGATTTCAATGAAAGAAAAATCAGTTGTGGACCTATTAAAAGCGCAAAATACATCCGTCCTGATTTAGATCACACTGCTACATCCAATGAGGAAGAACTAATGGAGACACATCTGTAAATCCCATTTAGGTGGGCTGGATTGATGGTTGACAAAAATACATCACTACTGTGACGTCAGCAGAATTTGAATGTTTCTGGATTCTGGTATAGATTTTTACCCTGGTTCCAAACACCAAAAAAAATGCAGTCAATTTATTTCTCTCTCTTAAATTGATGTGCTCCAATTATGAAGGGAAAAGAGGACGGATTTATTTGGAAAATATTTTACGGTACAGACACCTTCCCAACAGTCCCTCTCTCTTCCCTCAGCACTGCTGATGAAACCATTATAATTCAGCGCAAAGTATGAGAGTGATTATACCAGGTGAAAATACACGCTTATTACAAGACAAATCAAGCATCTTACATAGGCGATACTTAGGATGAATTTCCCTCGAGTGTCCAAGGAATATTCCTTTTTTCCAGTCTCAACGCCAAATATGTTGACTTTTCCGATGTGGCTTCCGGTTGCCACATACTGGGAATCGGGAGAAAAAGCCAGCGACCAAGCATCAACTGCACAAAAGGAAGAGAACAGAACTGTGAGATATCCAGTAATGAGTAAGTACATTTATTTCTGTTGTGCAACATTTGAACGCAGGTCTGGCAAGGAAGCAAATCATGTTCTGAATAAGCAAGCCAGAATTAGTGAAGTTATATTCAGCTATTTTAATGAAGCTATATTCAGACTAAGCGTGATTAGTCACGATTAACGTTAATTGGATCTGGGTTATGAGTTCATTGTCTCAATGTGGGCTGTGAATACACATCCCAAAGGTCCTTTTTTTTCCCAAAAGGCAACTGGACTTTCTTGGTTTTTTCTTTGAAAACGTTTCACTTCTCATCCAGGAAGCTTCAGAAATAGACACGGTCCAATTGTCTTTCGGACAGCCATCACCAGATAATTGAGAATCTCCATAGACTGTGAATATACCGTTGTTCACTGTCCTTTTAGTTATTTACTTATAAATAAATAAAAATATTAAAACATTCACTGTCATAACAAAGTCAGCCATAACCTTTCATCTACTCATTAAAATGGATACGCCACAAGCAAATGACATTTGCTCAGTTCCCAGTGATGGGTTGAACATTACCTGGCCCAGCATCTATTGACTTGATCTGTTTGCCAGTGTCCAAGTCCCAAATGCGGATGTGAGCATCTAATGAGCTGGACGCAGCAACTGTGCCTGTGTGACTAATGTCCACAGAAACGACACCCAGCTGATGACCTTCTAAGGTCCACTTGAGGTCCAGCTTCTCGTCATTCCTTGGAAAAACAAAAAGAAAGCATTTTTTCCCTAAAAAAGAATAAGTCGTACACCTATCAATAGTTTTCCATGTGGTGTATCTAGCAAGGCTTCCTAAAATTTCATTCTTGATACATACTCAGCTCCCAAATCACGTTTTCCTCCCAAACCTGGAGGAACACCACAGGTAGTCCTTGACTTACAGCCATTATTGAGCCCAGAATTATGGTGTTAAGTCATGACAGTGATTAGAGAAGCAACCTAGAACTAAGGAGAGATTTCCTGACGGTGAGAACAATTAACCAGTGGAACAACCTGCCTCCAGAAGCGGTGAATGCTCCAACACTGGAAGTTTTTAAGAAGAGACTGGACAGCCATTTGTCCGAAATCTAGATGACCTTGGAGGTCATCTAGTCCAACCAGAGGGTTGGACTAGATGACCTCCAAGGTCCCTTCCAACACCATCATCATCATTATTATTATTAAGCACATCGCCCTGTGAGCCCACCTGATTTTACAGAGGTTGTTAAGCAAACACTGTAATCACTGAGCAAATGCTACAGTCATCAAGCAAACACATTTTCGCCACTGGGTGCTTTTGGCCAGAAATTGGCAAAAAAAATAAATACCAAAAATCACAGTCATGTGACTGCAGGACATTGTGAATAGCTGTAAACGAGATCTGGTTGCCAAGCACACCAAATGCAAATCCCGTGATCTCAGGGTGTGTTTGTGTGCGCCTTTGTGTAAGGCTATCAGAACTTTGAAAACAGGTCATAAATCGTACTGGGCAGATCCATGAGAACTTCCAGTAGTCTCTAAGTGACAGGTTGTTAAATGAGGAATAATAATAATAATGATGATGATGATGATGATGAAAGGGACCTTGGAGGTCATCTAGTCCAACCCCCGCTCAGGTAGGAAACCCTATACCATTTCGGACAAATGGCTGCCCAGTCTCTTCTTAAAAACTTCCAGCGTTGGATCATTCACGGCTTCTGGAGGCAGGCTGTTCCACTGGTTAATTGTTGTCACTGTCAGGAAGTTTCTCCTTAATTCTAGGTTGCTTCTCTCCTTGGTTAGTTTCCACCCGTTGCTTCTTGTCCTGCCTTCAGGCGCTTTGGAGAATAGCTTGGCTCCTTCTTCTTTGGGGCAGCCCCTCAGATACTGGAAGACTGCTATCATGTCCCTCCTCGTCCTTCTCTTCATTAAACTAGACATACCCAATTCCAGCAACCGTTCCTTATATGTTTTAACCTCCAGTCCCCACGTTACCTGCACATGCTTCTCTTACTTGTTTAAGGACAGCTTTGCACACCTATAAACTACACAGCATTTTTAGAAAATCTCCTGGAATTTACCATTTCCAGACTTTCACCAGGTCATCCAGAGAGCCTGAGATTACGGTCTCCGAGCCGTCGTTTCTGTTTTTGCCCCAAGCAACCGACCAAATTGCATCGTCGTGCGCTAAGGAAAAAAAAAAGATGACTTCCAAGAAACAGGTTCTACTGAGCAAAGCCAGCCTCACCAACAAGAAACTTGAAAAACCCTCCACAAGGGAATTCCAGGCTTTGATGATTCGATTCTTTGGGGATCCTGACCCTTCCCCAGTCATCGCCCAGCTAGTCTGGTGAACCACACCTTCTACCTGTGGAAAGCAAATCTGGCTTGACCCTGCCCACATGTTAAGGGTCCCTTCTCT